ACTTTATTTTGTTCCCTAGAGATTTTGAGTTGAGGTGAGAAAGCCTCGGTGGTTACTGGTTTCATGGTTTAGAATGAGTACATGATAAAGATGGGACCATACTAATAATGATCTCTTGATAACATCTTTGGTGAATATTGTGATACAGACAAGTTCCATTCCTTGTCTTGTATGTAATGATCATGAATGGATGGTGGCAGCATTTCGTCTTCTACTATCTACTTCTACTATCTACTCTTCTACTTCTACCTATCTACACCTCTCCCTCCACCTCTCTTTCTAAACTCTCACTTTCAACTAGTGACCCTCCTCGCTCCTCCCACTTATCTACCTCTCACCCCAAACCCTCACTAATTACTTCACTATTCATTTCTTTCCTTTCGTTTTCTCTTATACGTTTGTGGCAACGATTCTGTATTCTAGAGTTCTCTCTAGAGTTCCGGGTAGCTGATCCAGTTATGGCGCCTTGTAGTCTTAGCACCTAGGGAGTCAAATACCTAGGTTACAAGGTGTTGAACGAGAGAGGTTGCCTTAGGAACTCTGGAGGGCGCTCTAGAATAGTTAGCTAACTGGGGACGGGATAACGGACTAGAGAGAGCTGTTTCCCCCGGCCTCGTTAGTTAACTGGGGGGTGGAATAATGGACAAGATAGAGCTATTTCCCCCACCCCCCGTTACAATGTCTCTCTTCCTCCTCCCATGGGCACTTTTACAGTGTTACATTCCAAATGTCTGCCAAATTTATACGCAAAATATTTATAATTCCAAAAGTTATGGCCTTATGACTAAACGATGACATGGAAACATTAGAACTAAGAACTCTGCACATAGTAGGTAAAAATGGTGAGAATCGGGCAGAAACTAAATTTTTTCGTAAAGTCTTAAATTTGAAATTCGTGTTTTAGAGATAATTGAAGTTGAAGATATTGACAATGAATATGAGTAGTTCTAATTAATGAATTTTCTTGTATGTTTTAATAAACATTTCTTGGCACTCGTACTCGAATATAAGAAAGTTGTAGGTCAACATGTGTTGATATGATGTCAAGAAAAAATAACCCACCAAAAAACTGAATATAGGGATACGTTAGTGATAACTGTAAAACAGACACTGGGCCCCTTAAGTGTCTAACAGTAGGTTAGACATATACATGAATGAGATTGGGTGGATATAAATAGGAGCTGCCTCGTATGGGCCAGTAAGCCTTATGCAGTTACCTTCATTCTTATGTTCTTTAAGGAAACATATATATTGCAGTAACTTTATTGCCCATATATAAGTGATAAGGATCTCATCTGGTCCTCATTCATCAATACAACCTAATTACACAAAGAGAATAAAGTTTGAAATCTGTAAATAAATCGGCCAAAAAGAAATAAAAGTCACAACTTCTGCCCAGGAGAGGAGAAAAAAAGTGGTTGTCATCTTTTCGTACAGAGGGACATAAGAAATATTGCCATTGGGCAATGTATTTATATAATATATAATAAAATGCAGCATAATAACTCATTATTGTGTGTGACATCTGGTCCTCCAGGTGGCACCAGCTGCATATACAATTTGTAGACCTTTCTACTACTTGTCTTGTTTGTGAACCAGACAGGTGCATGTAGCTCCTTATCCCTAACTGCTAGTAAATAGGAGGTGTTATGGTTATTATCACTACCAGTTACTGCCAATCGCGGACGCATTTAATTAAAAAAATCGTATAAAAAATCCATTTCTTAACATATTGGGATGAAATTTTCACGACGCTAATGCCAAATAACGGGAGATTTGTGTAAAATTTTCACTATTTTTCATACTTGGAAAAATACTCCTCGTACAACGGGCCCCTTAAATGGCAAAAAGCATAGCTGTGGTGCGGCTATATTTCTAGTTAAGAGTAAGAAAGCCTTGAGTTAGAAAGTATTCCAGAGTTATGGGTCGATCACCTACTGGTTGTCCAGCTGATAACCCACAGTGGGGTTACAGAGGCAGATGCTGGGTTCACCAACTGAACCCCATTGTTCATTCAGCTAAGCAAGTAACACTCTTCTGAATCTAGTTACACAATTTTTAAATATTACATACTTTTATACGTGCATATATATGTATATACATACATACATACATACATACATACATACATACATACATACATACATACATACATACATAAATACATACATACTTGTATTCACTTACACACACATATATATACATACATACACATACACAAAGAGACATACTGAAAGTATGTCATACATACACATACACATCTTGAGGTTATCTTGAGATGATTTCGGGGCTTTAGTGTCCCCGCGGCCCGGTCCTCGACCAGGCCTCCACCCCCAGGAAGCAGCCCGTGACAGCTGACTAACTCCCAGGTACCTATTTACTGCTAGGTAACAGGGGCATTCAGGGTGAAAGAAACTTTGCCCATTTGTTTCTGCCTCGTGCGGGAATCGAACCCGCGCCACAGAATTACGAGTCCTGCGCGCTATCCACCAGGCTACGAGGCCCCTAAAAAAATGCATACTGAAAAAGTGTGCAGGAGCACTTTGCTTGCCACTCTCCATAGTGTATAGTAGGTCACTGGAAACGGGAGACCTACCAGAAATATGGAAGACTGCTAATGTAGTACCAATATACAAAATGGGTGACAGACAAGAGGCACTGAACTACAGGCCAGTGTCCTTAACTTGTATACCATGCAAGGTGATGAAGAAGATTGTGAGAAAAAACCTAGTAACACATCTGGAGAGAAGAGACTTCGTGACAACCCATCAACATGGGTTCAGGGAGGGTAAATCTTGCCTTACAGGCTTGATAGAATTCTAAGATCAGGTGACAAAGAATAAGCAAGAAAGAGAAGGATGGGCGGACTGCATTTTTTTGGACTGTCGGAAAGCCTTTGACACAGTACCCCATAAAAGGTTGATACATAAGCTGGAGAAACAGGCAGGAGTAACTGGTAGGGCGCTCCAGTGGATAAGGGAATACCTAAGCAATAGGAAGCAGAGAGTTACAGTGAGGGGTGAGACCTCAGATTGGCGTGAAGTCACCAGTGGAGTCCCACAGGGCTCTGTGCTTGTACCTATCCTGTTTCTGATATACGTAAATGATCTCCCAGAGGGTACAGACTCATTCCTCTCAATGTTTGCTGACGACGCCAAAATTATGAGAAGGATTAAGACAGAGGAGGACAGCTTGAGGCTTCAAGAAGACCTGTACAAGCTGCAGGAATGGTCGAACAAATGGTTGTTAGAGTTTAATCCAAGCAAATATAATGTAATGAAGATAGGGGTAGGAAGCAGGAGACCAGATACAAAGTATCATTTGGGAGATGAAATACTTCAAGAGTCAGAGAGAGAGAAAGACCTGGGGGTTGATATCACGCCAGACCTGTCCCCTGAAGCTCATATCAAGAGGATAATTAACATCAGCAGCATATGCCAGGTTGGCTAACATAAGACCGGCCTTTATAAACATGTGTAAGGAATCTTTCAGAACATTATATACCACATATGTCAGACGAATCCTGGAGTATGTGGCTCCAGTATGGAGTCCATATTTAGTCAAGCATAAGACTAAACTGGAAAAGGTTCAAAGGTTTGCCACCAGACTAGTACCCAAGCTGAGAGGTATGAGCTACGAGGAGAGACTACGGGAATTAAACCTCACTTCGTTGGAAGACAGAAGAGTTAGGGGGGGACATGATCACCACATTCAAGATTCTCAAGGGAATCGACAGGGTTGATAAAGGCAGGCTATTTAACACAAGGGGCACAAGCACTAAGGGACACAGGTGAAAACTGAGTGCCCAAATGAGCCACAGAGATATTAGAAAGAAATTTTTTAGTGTCAGAGTGGTTGACAAATGGAATGCATTAGGAAGTAATGTGGTGGAGGCTGACTCCATACACAGTTTCAAGTGTAGATATGATAGAGCCCAATACGCTCAGGAACCTGTACACCTCTTGATTGACGGTTGAGAGGCGGGACCAAAGAGCCAGAGCTCAACCCCCGCAAGCACAACTAGGTGAGTACAAATACATATATCACTAGCCCATTTATATCACGTGATTCAAGATGAGGCTGGCAAGTCTGTATGAAAGTCATTATATCTATAGTGAATCCGTTACCCAGTTACTAATCTTGCTCCACACCCATCCAAATGGGCGGCAACTTTACAGGCAAGTACTTGCATTATCTACAGTGGATGGGCTGCATTGGTTATTTTATAATTTTTTCCAGTGTCGGTCTTCCTCACTGGTATTTTACCACCTCTGACAAAGCAATCTTTGATTAACATATTGGAATTCTTACAAACTTGACGCAGTTGAAAGGAAAGATTCTGCCTATTCCTGGTGAATCAGATTTTCACGAAAACAGTGGGTTTTCCAGACCCAGAAGCTCTGATAAGGTCTAATCTTCACGAACAACTGTGTAATTGGACACGAATTTTCCCAATGTTTTCAGTAGATACTTTGGTACCTCTTCTGTGTGCTGCTTTGTTTTCACCTGCTTGCTTGAAGTTTGTAATTCAGCTGCTCCCGTAGTTCCTTAACCACGAGTTGACACGGTCCGCTCATTTGGTTTCAAGGGAAAATTTCGTGAGGAAATAATGACAGCAGCTAAGAGTTTTTATTGGTCTGATTCATCTTGGGAGACAGTTTGTTGCAATTGCAAGGTATTAAGTGGGTTTTAAAAGCTGGCAAATATTATCTCCAATTTTTTTTAACCAACCACTTGGGCTGGACGGTAGAGCGACGGTCTCCCTTCATGCAGGTCGGCGTTCAATCCCCGACCGTCCAAAAGGTTGGGCAACATTCCTTCCCCCCCCCCCCCGTCCCATCCGAAATCCTTATCCTGACCCTTTCCCAGTGCTATGAAGTCGTAAGGGCTTGGCGCTTTTCCCTTATTTTTCCCTCTCCTATTTTCTAGTGGTTTCAATGGAATTCAGGTTTTAAACTTTGAACTGAAGAGAGCTTAGTTTCATGTAGGAAAAGATTAACTTCGTTGGCCAGTTCTTGATTTTGGGAAGTAATGCTGAGTTTATAACTAATTATTCAATACATTTTTCACAATATACAGCATCAGAAATACCTAAGCACAACTGCACTAAACAGATAGCAACAATGGTAAATGTTAACAAGTCTGTGATTATATATAAGAGCCTTCTGTCTCATAGATATTTTAACAGGAACCAAATGTTTGATCATCTTGCGACTTGGTCCTGCAGGCCCTAGAAGACATAGAGACCGGAGAGGCGTAGCGAGGCGGCCAGGGCCTGGGTGGTGCCGGGTTGACCCTGTGGCGCTGAGAACATGGTCCAGGGGTTGTCAGCGCTGACGTTCCTCTCGTGAAGTTCTCGAATCAGTGTCTCAATACCCTCGCCTGCAAGCATCAGGAGACGTGAAGGCCAAACCTGGCTATGTCACACATCTAAATAGCAACTTATATCAGAGAAATACAGCATGGATTAATTAATATTTTGCTGAGATGAGCAGCACGTCTGGTTAATTTGAAGTATATAAGCATTATAGCTTGCATTAATCCAAACCAGTGTGCTAAAATTGATCTGGGTTAATCAGGACTCATAATAACTTGTTTAGTCAAAGGCAATGTTGGGCAATCAGTGTCCAGAATTACACTAGATGCACCGCAACAAAGTATACTAATACAATAATAATAATGATACTAGAGGCCAAAGAAGAGCTTCAAGGAACTTTGGTTGTTCTGGAAATGCATCAAAATATATACGTACTGGTGAGAAGAGTACCCAGGAAGGTCAGGTCATCATAGTGCCCACCTCTGGAGTGAGGACTTTCTACCCAGTCTGTCACGTCTCCTGTGTCTTTTATTTCCTCTCCTTCTAGTCCTCCTTCCCGTCCTTCTCCTCCGTCTCTTGGCTCTCCACACCGCCTGACTGTGCAGGCCGACGTCCATCACTCTTTTGATGGTTGTGTTGTTCGCTCTCGCTCTTCTTCTCCTATCGAGACACTATCTATTGCCCAGTACGTTGCTGCTGGGACGCCTGTATCTTTGAGTCAGAAGCGGAAACCTGGCTCCTCTCCTTCCTCCTCCCCTGTCGGTAAGAAAGCTTCGCTTTCTTCTTCACCCCCTATCACTGATTCTATCGTTCCTTCCCCTCCCGCTTCGGTGGTGGTGCCCCCTGTTCCTACTGTGGGGGTTTCTTTAGCCCACGGTTCCATCTCGGTTATTGCCCTTGCTGAGGTGCGCTCCCCTCTTTCTGCCCCCCCTCCCCCCCTTCCTTCTCCAGACCATGCTCGTCCACCTCTGGTCCGTCCTCCCGCTTCTTGCCCTCCTTCTTTACTCAGTTTACCCATGCCCCCTGACACTGACTTCGCTGACCCTGATCCTGACTGTGCTTTTTTAGCGTGCTGTGTTCATTCTTCACCTTTGTTTCTTCTTTGCTCTCTGTTGCTCTCCTCTCTCTTTTTGCTGATGTCTTTTCTTCAGTGGAACATCCGTGGATTTTACGCCAATTTCCTTGACCTCCAACTTCTCATTTCACAGTTTTCGCCCCTTTGTGTCTGTCTCCAGGAGCCGATGCTTGGTTCTCGTCCTGGTCGCTTCCGTGGCTATTCTTTTCTCTCCCTTCCGGTCCATAATTCTTCTGCTCTCTTGATTCGTTCCGATGTTCCCTTTGTCCCCTTACTTTTTTCCTCGCCTCTCCACTGTTCTGCCGCCTGTGTCTTTGTGCATAGATGGTACACTGTTTGTTCCATTTATCTCCCACACTTTCTCTTCCCGATCTTAAACACCTCCTAGACTCCTTGCCGGAGCCTGTGCTCCTGCTGGGTGATTTCAATTGTCGTCATGCCCTTTGGGGTGATGTGCTGACAAACACCCGGGGTCGCCTCCTTGTACCTTTCATCCTCTCTTCTTCCCTGTCCCTTCTTAATTCTGGTGAGCCCACTCATTTGGACTCTCGAACTCACTCCCTTTCTTGTCTCGATCTTTCTCTGTGCTCGTCATCCCTTTCCTTAGATTTCGGGTGGTGAGTCCTTGATGACCTCCATGGCAGTGACCATTTTCCTATCCTTGTCACTTTTTTCTCCTTTCGCCCCTCCTCTCTCCTTCCCTAGGTGGCGGTGTGCCGAGGCTGACTGGCGCCTCTTTACTCTCCGTGCTACTATTTCCGACCTCTCCATTTTACCTCTCACTCGCGCCCTCCTTCTTTTTCATGACACTGTCTTTGACGCTGCCCTCCACTCTATTCCTCACTCTTCCTCTCGGGGAACGCGGAAGTGCGCTCCCTGGTGGAGTTTGGACTGTGCTCGGGCTGTCCGCTGTAAGCGTGCAGCCTGGAAGAGACATCGCCGCCGGCAGACGGTTGAGTCTTTTCTTTTGTTTCGGAAGGCGAGTGCGGTGGCCTGTAGGACCATCCGTGCGGCTAAACGTGCTTGCTGGGCGTCTTATGTCTCCACCGTTACGTCCGAAACTCCTCTTCCAATGGTCTGGAAGCGAATCCGCAAGATTGCGGGTAAGTTCGTTTCCGATGTCTCACCGGTCCTTCGCCTCCATGGTGCTCTTGTGGCGGACCCGTTGCAGGTTGCGACCGAACTGGGTTCCCATTTCTCCTCTGTTAGTTCTGGTTCTCATCTCCCCCAATCCTTCCTCCTTCGTAAGCCTCTCCTTGAATCTCGTCCTTTAAATTTCTGTACTTATCTTCACCTTCCCTATAATGATCCCTTCTCTCTCTCTCTGAACTTCAATCTGCCCTAGCCCTTTGTGGTTCTACAGCAGCGGGCTCCGATGGCATTCATTATGAAATGCTTCGCCATCTCCCTCCGTGCACGTCTCAGTATTTACTGAGTCTGTACAATCGGGTCTGGGAGTCGTCGTCAGTCCCTGAAGACTGGCTCGATGCTGTTGTCCTCCCTGTTCGGAAACCGGGGTCTCTCGGGTCATCCCCCAAGGACTTCCGCAATATTGCCCTCACGAGTTGTGTCTGCAAGCTCTTTGAACGTATGGTTAACGTTCGTTTGATGTGGTTCTTATAACACTATCACCACCTCTTCCCTTCTCAATTTGGTTTTTGCAAGTGCCGCAGCACAACAGATGTCCTGGTGAACTTGGAGGTCTATATTCGTACTGCTTATGCTGCGAAGACCTCCGTTGTTGCCGTCCTTTTTGACCTGGAAGAGGCTTACGACACTACCTGGCGGTATCATATTCTGTCTCAACTTCATTCTTTTGGCCTTCGTGGGAACCTCCCTCTCTTCCTCTGGAGCTTCCTCTTTCGTCGTTCCTTTCGTGTACGGCTTGGTACTGCTCTCTCTGCCCCTTTTCAGCAGTATGAGGGTGTACCCCAGGGTAGTGTTCTGAGCACTACTCTTTTTCTAGTTGCCCTCAACGGTCTTCTTTCCTCTCTTCCTTCTGGCGTCTTCTCTGCTCTGTATGTTGATCTTACCCTTTGCTGTCGGGGTGATGATTCCCCTCTCCTTCAACGGCGGCTTCAACTTGCGATTGATGCCTTGTCGTCTTGGGCCACAGATCATGGCTTCAGGTTCTCTGCGTCTAAGACTTCTGCTATGACTTTTACTCGGAAGCATGTCGTTCTTCGTTCCTCTTTGTCGCTTTATGGTCATCCCATTGTGTACAGGGATTCCGCGAAGCTTTTGGGGTTAGTCTTTGACACTCGTTTGTCTTGGTCAGCCCATATCTCTTACCTCCGAGTTGAATGCTCTAAGGCCCTTAACCTCTTTAAGGTTTTGTCCTATACTTCTTGGGGAGTGGATAGGCGCACGCTCCTCTATTTGCACTCCTCTCTCGTCTTGTCTAAACTCGATTATGGTTGCCCTGCATACTCTTCTGCTTCTCCTTCTACTCTTCGCCGTCTTGATGCTTTGCACCATACTGGGTTGCGTCTCAGCTCTGGTGCCTTTCGTTCGACTCCCGCCCTTAGTTTGTATGTTGACACTGGCTTTCTCTCTCTTCAGGACCGCCGTGATCGCTACTGTCTTCGCTATCTTGGGTGGTCCTTCCAACATCCTTCCTCTCGCATCTGTCGTGCATTGACTTTTCCTCCTCCTGTGGTTCCTGTTCCTCTTCATTGTCTCCCACTTTCTGTCCGGTTATCTCGCTTACAGGATTCTCTTTCTGTTCATATTTCTAATGTTTCTCCTCGTATTGTTCCTTCCTTACCTCCGTGGAGAGTCCCCCTTCCCAAGTTTTGTACGTCCTTGACTTGTATTACTAAAGCCTTTACCCCTCCTACAATTCTGAAAAGCCTCTTCCTTGAGCACTTTTCTTCGCACTCCCACTCTATTTCCATCTTCACCGATGGGTCTAAGTCTGCGGACGGTGTGGGCTACTCTGTTGTTTTTCCTGACCGTACTTATATGTGTCGCCTCCCTTCGGAGGCTAGCGTCTTTACGGCAGAACTTTATGCTATTCTCTATGCTCTTCGTCTCTTGCTTTCTCATTCTCATTCCTCCTTTGTGGTTGTAGTTGACTCTCGTAGTGCCCTCATGGCTCTAGGGTCCTTTAATCCTGTCCATCCAGTGGTCATCGAGATTCAACATTGGCTGTTTCTTATTTCTAGTAAATTTAATTCCGTAGAGTTTTGCTGGGTTCCCAGCCATATTGGTGTTTCTTTCAATGAGCGTGCGGATGCTGCCGCTAAGGAAGCTATCCGTTCTTGTCCCATCTCCCGTAAAGGTATTCCTTATTCCGACTTTTATCCTGTTATTCATTCTTCCATTCTTGCCCGTTGGCAGGGTTGTTGGTCCTCTGTGGTTGGTAACAAGCTGCGTACTCTCAAACGTAGTGTGTCCCCGTGGCCTTCCTCCTGCCACAGTAACCGGCGGCGTGAAACTGCTTTGGCACGGCTGCGGGTTGGTTATACTCGCTTAACCCACAGTCACTTAATGGAGCGCCGCCCTGCTCCTTATTGTCCGAATTGCGTTGTCCCTCTTACAGTTGTGCATATCCTTGTTGAATGTCCTGACTTCCAGGACGAGCGTGCGTCTTGCTTTCCGACCGTCCCTTGCGGTCACTTGTCCCTCGATAGAATTCTAGGTGAATCGGATACTTTTAATATCGTTCGCCTTATGCGTTTTTGTTCTCGTATTGGCATTCTTGGTGATATTTAGCGCCCTCTGATTATTTTGCACTTTGATGGTGCTGCATAGCCTTCCTGGTTCGGTGCCTTCTTTTGATAATTACCTTACCTTACCTCTCATAAAACTTTACAACAAAGCGAATAGCGGTTTTGGTCTCTAAAAAGTATATATTAGTGCAACTTGGGAAGTGTAGCAGCTCACACAACATAGACAACTACAAGGAAATATACATACAGAGATTCCGAGAATAACCGGTACTAGTTATCAGCGGTTCTAGGCACGGTTAACGGGCCGGAACCACCAATCTGTCGTCACTTTTAGTGCGCTGCAATGTTGAAGCTCTTGGAAACATCAGAATTCAGGGGCGTTATTGACATTATCAGCATTGCAACATTGTTTTCTCGAAATTAACATGAGCATCGGCCTCAATACGGTTAGGAAGGTTACCAAAGTTCAAATGGTATTGGTTAGGAAAACCTTAACATGTGACAACATCTCAAGACGCGCTGGTTGTAGACGAGCCTCAAGCATGCAACACCACATGACTTGGTGTAGACGAGCCTCAAGCATGCAACACCACAAGACTTGGTGTAGACGAGCCTCAAGCATGCAACACCACATGACTTGGTATAGACGAGCCTCAAGCATGCAACACCACATCACTTGGTGTAGACGAGTCTCAAGCATGCAACACCACATCACTTGGTGTAGACGAGTCTCAAGCATGCAACACCACATCACTTGGTGTAGACGAGTCTCAAGCATGCAACACCACATCACTTGGTGTAGACGAGTCTCAAGCATGCAACACCACATGACTTGGTGTAGACGAGCCTCAAGCATGCAACACCACAAGACTTGGTGTAGACGAGCCTCAAGCATGCAACACCACAAGACTTGGTGTAGACGAGCCTCAAGCATGCAACACCACAAGACTTGGTGTAGACGAGTCTCAAGCATGCAACACCACAAGACTTGGTGTAGACGAGTCTCAAGCATGCAACACCACATCACTTGGTGTAGACGAGTCTCAAGCATGCAACACCACATCACTTGGTGTAGATGAGCCTCAAGCATGCAACACCACATCACTTGGTGTAGACGAGCCTCAAGCATGCAACACCGCTTCACTTGGTGTATAACCATGATATATAATGTGTTTTTCTCCACAATGAAGTTACTTATATATCCATCATCTTCACGTAAAGTTAAAACATAGAAATATTGGCTAATAAGAGCTAGATTACATATTGAAGGAGTGAATATTCAAGCACAACTTACCGAGTAGTTGATCAAGGCCAGGCTGGCCGTCATGACAACTGGCTCCTGCGCATGCGTCGCCTCACGCCCCGCCCAAGTCCAAGTTACATCATAAAGCAGGAAAATTATTATCATAACATCACAGTTTTAGTAAAACTTTGCTTTAATCATTATTAATATTTTTGATATTTTTATTCATAGATGAGAAGTTTATGAAACGGAATATATAGTTATATAGAAAGTGTATATAGAAAGTGTAATATAGAAAGTGTTAAGACATCACTAACACTGGCGACTGTGGGACAAATAAAGAATCAAGAGGTACATGGCACTTCCATCTGTGTATACACTCCCAGTACACTTCACACCTACACACTTCACTGCTAAAATATACATGTTGGTGGGCGAGTAAGCATGTATTGTGGCCTTAATGACTGTCTCTCCAGAAGGGTGATGGGCCAGGTTTACAGACCTTATTAAGCCCGGAAATACCAAAACGAAACTTAGGGTTCCTCTCTGTAGCCAGCATAGTCAAGGTCACCACCCATACAATTATCTATTGTTTCTCACGCGGTGGAAAGTTATCATCAGTGCCGCTGGCGGAGTGGAGGGAGGGCGCTAGCTTGCGTACTGACGGAGTGGGTGGAGGGTGCTAGCTCGCGTACTGACGGAGTGGGTGGAGGGCGCTAGCTTGCGTACTGACGGAGTGGGTGGAGGGTGCTAGCTCGCGTACTGACGGAGTGGGTGGAGGGCGCTAGCTTGCGTACTGACGGAGTGGGTGGAGGGTGCTAGCTCGCGTACTGACGGAGTGGGTGGAGGGTGCTAGCTCGCGTACTGACGGAGTGGGTGGAGGGTGCTAGCTCGCGTACTGACGGAGTGGGTGGAGGGTGCTAGCTCGCGTACTGACGGAGTGGGTGGAGGGTGCTAGCTCGCGTACTGACGGAGTGGGTGGAGAGCGCTAGCTTGCGTACTGACGGAGTGGGTGGAGGGTGCTAGCTCGCGTACTGACGGAGTGGGTGGAGGGTGCTAGCTCGCGTACTGACGGAGTGGGTGGAGGGTGCTAGCTCGCGTACTGACGGAGTGGGTGGAGGGTGCTAGCTCGCGTACTGACGGAGTGGGTGGAGAGCGCTAGCTTGCGTACTGACGGAGTGGGTGGAGGGTGCTAGCTCGCGTACTGACGGAGTGGGTGGAGGGTGCTAGCTCGCGTACTGACGGAGTGGGTGGAGGGTGCTAGCTCGCGTACTGACGGAGTGGGTGGAGGGTGCTAGCTCGCGTACTGACGGAGTGGGTGGAGAGCGCTAGCTTGCGTACTGACGGAGTGGGTGGAGGGTGTTAGCTCGCGTACTGACGGAGTGGGTGGAGAGCGCTAGCTTGCGTACTGACGGAGTGGGTGGAGGGTGCTAGCTCGCGTACTGACGGAGTGGGTGGAGGGTGCTAGATCGCGTACTGACGGAGTGGGTGGAGAGCGCTAGCTTGCGTACTGACGGAGTGGGTGGAGAGCGCTAGCTTGCGTACTGACGGAGTGGGTGGAGAGCGCTAGCTCGCGAACTGGCGAAGTGGGTGGAGGGTGCTAGCTCACGTACTGGCGAAGTGGGTGGAGGGTGCTAGCTCGCGTACTGACGGAGTGGGTGGAGAGCGCTAGCTTGCGTACTGACGGAGTGGGTGGAGGGCGCTAGCTTGCATACTGACGGAGTGGGTGGAGGGCGCTAGCTTGCGTACTGACGGAGTGGGTGGAGGGCGCTAGCTTGCATACTGACGGAGTGGGTGGAGGGCGCTAGCTTGCGTACTGACGGAGTGGGGGGAGGGCGCTAGCTTGCATACTGACGGAGTGGGTGGAGGGTGCTAGCTTGCGTACTGACGGAGTGGGGGAGGGCGCTAGCTCGCGAACTGGCGGAGTGGGGGGAGGGTGCTAGCTCGCGTACTGGCGGAGTGGGTGGAGGGTGCTAGCTTGCGTACTGGCGGAGTGGGTGGAGGGTGCTAGCTTGCGTACTGGCTGAGTGGGGGGAGGGCGCTAGCTTGCGTACTGGCTGAGTGGGGGGAGGGTGCTAGCTTGCGTACTGGCGGAGTGGGTGGAGGGTGCTAGCTTGCGTACTGGCTGAGTGGGTGGAGGGCGCTAGCTTGCGTACTGGCTGAGTGGGGGGAGGGCGCTAGCTTGCGTACTGGCTGAGTGGGGGGAGGGTGCTAGCTTGCGTACTGGCTGAGTGGGGGGAGGGCGCTAGCTTGCGTACTGGCTGAGTGGGGGGAGGGCGCTAGCTTGCGTACTGGCTGAGTGGGGGGAGGGCGCTAGCTTGCGTACTGGCTGAGTGGGGGGAGGGCGCTAGCTTGCGTACTGGCTGAGTGGGGGGAGGGCGCTAGCTTGCGTACTGGCTGAGTGGGGGGAGGGCGCTAGCTTGCGTTCTGGCTGAGTGGGGGGAGGGCGCTAGCTTTCGTTCTGGCTGAGTGGGGGGAGGGCGCTAGCTTTCGTTCTGGCAGTCTCCATCACATCACTTCCTAGTGCATTCCATTTATTAACTACTCTGAAACTGAAAAAGTTATTTCTAATATCTTTGTGACTCCTTTGGGTACTCAGCTTGCAAGTGGTGTCCCCTTGTGCGTGTACCACCCGTGTTAAATAATCCATCCTTGTCTACCCTGTTAATTCCCCTGAGAATTTTGTATGTGGTGATCATGTTGTAATGACCGCTTTACCCTGTCGTAATAACCGCGGCCTCTATTGTAATAACCCAATGTTCCCCAGTATTAATCCTGTTATCTTGTGATCTCTCATAATCGTACTATACGCTCTCTGTTGTAATTCTCTGTCTCTCTTCAACTCAATACCCCAGCTTAACACTGTTACAGTCCAGCATGACCCCTCACTGGACTGCCACGTATCTAAGAGGAATATTAAATGAGGAAGATACACCAAGGACAAGGGTTATTAGTTAAAAACAATAACAAAACACATTAACACTGCCACCACCTTCCCGACCAACCATACCTGAATGTGTCTATCATCGATCCCCCAGGAAGGCAAGGAATCAGTAATCATGGGACTCCAGGTAATATGAATTTCAGAAATAAATTTTGGAAAATTAGTTTGTGTAATGTACGTTACTAATTTGAATCCAAGGGCAACTTTAGTATCGATTAATTGTTAGGAGAACCTGGGGGGGGCTTCCAATACAACACCTAAAAATGACAAAGTAGCAAAATATATCAAAGGGGAGTTAAGTGAATACCACTGGACAAGCTATACAATTTATTTTATGAAACATGTAAATTAAGACAATTTGAACACATCACCTATTCTATTTCCCCAGAGGCACAATGGATATTTATTGAGGGCACAAAACTCAAGTGCTACTATACCTTAAATACCCGCCACTTAAATACCTACGGCCACGATGTTGATGGCTGCCCTCAGCCCCGAGGATACGGGCTTGCGGCCCTGTTCCTAATACACTCCCAAGACACACTGATGAAATTTAGTTTTTCCAACTTATTGCTGGGAAGGATTACTCCTCCCACCATCTAATACAGCCCCAGGGCTCCACCCATTATTTTGGCAATGGCCAACCATTTAACACGTAGGCCTGAGGTCTGGCTCTCTAGGGCCAATAAGGACTTGGCCCTTATCTCAGGCCAATCACCTTCACTGATCTGCCGTGGAAAGCTACTTGAATTCCTGAAGATTGAGTCAGCTCTCCCCAGCTAAAGAGAAGGGGGACAAGGCGCGTCTATGGAGCCCAGGCACCTGCGAGCAATGTTTACAAAACTGATAAATTATGTTCAAGCCTGTCTCCTCTAAGATAGCGAGTAGGGACATTTGACTCTGCCTCGTATGGGGAAGAGGCCGGTGAGAGGGGAAGAGAGGGGAAGAGAGGGGATGAGAGGGGATGGAGAGGGGAACATCTGAGTGGGGAATTGAGTGGGAGAAGCCAAGGTATCCAAGACCACCCCACCCTCAGGTCAACCTCTTGACCTTGACAAATGGGCGACAAGGGGGGGGGGAAGAGGAGAGGAGACGAATGACGGCCAAGGGGAGGGGAGAAGGAAGGAGGGAAGAGGGAGAAGGAAAGGAGGGGAGAAGGAGAGGGAAAAGAGGGGAGAAGGGAGAACCAATGATCTGAGCCCCAGATCATTACATTCTCACTGTCAGGAGCAACAGTTTGATAGTGAGGTATAGTGACGGTGTCTATGACAGGAAAATGACAGGAAAGGTTGTCACAATCACTGAGTCTTATACCCTCAGATGTAACCAGTTAGGTCATCATCAGTGAGAAAATGATCAAAATGAGACTTTCCTCTCCAGTCACTTAAAGGAAAGCCAAAGTAATATTAAACTGAGCATAGCCAATATTGACCAGCATATGCAAATCTTTTGTTAAATTTTAAAAGCCTAAGTCTTCTTGTAACGATTTTATGTTTTTCTTAATTTATTTCAATGTAGATTTTTGTATCATCGGAAACTAGGTAATGTTGCACTTGAGTGTTGTATCTACATGGTTTATATATACGGTAAACAAGACAGGTCTCAGGCCAGAGTCCTGAGGACCATTGACAACTATGGTAATGTTGCACTTGAGTGTTGTATCAACATGGTTTATATATACGGTAAACAAGACAGGTCTCAGGCCAGAGTCCTGAGGACCATTGACAACTATGGTAATGTTGCACTTGAGTGTTGTATCTACATGGTTTATATATACGGTAAACAAGACAGGTCTCAGGCCAGAGTCCTGAGGACCATTGACAACTATGGTAATGTTGCACTTGAGTGTTGTATCAACATGGTTTATATATACGGTAAACAAGACAGGTCTCAGGCCAGAGTCCTAAGGACCATTGACAACGTTTACCACTCGGATTTGTCTTACTCTGTTTCTGTTGAAAAAGTCATATCATATACCACTAGCAAGTTAATACCTCCAAACAATAGGCCTCAGAGAATGAGTGAAAATACAAGTGTTTAAATTGTTTAAACTTATATGTTGCTTTATTACAGATAATGCATGTATTTACTTTAATACTTGCAGTACTGAACTATAAAAAGCGTAGTACAGTACTACTTACTGTATCAAAGGAGGTGTACATATTGCAGTTTCTTTACTAAAGTAATTATACATTTAAGTGTGCAGAAGGACACTTGCTGTATTAAACTACTTGAACAGTAAGCTGCATACTGTATGAAATATCTTGTACAGTACGTTAATTACTGTAATAAAGTAAGTGCCCAAAAGGGTATTACAAAAGAATACTGATAATACTAAAAAACATATATACAGTAAGCTGCTTAATGCATTATGGTAAATTGCAATAGGCAACTTACTGTATTTAGTTGTACATTAAGCAACTTAAAATATCAAAGATGTATATATGCTCCTGTTTAATCTTGAGGATAATAAGGTTAAGGCAGCCTAAAAGTCAGACAAAAATTCTCAATGCCTAAAATCCTTAATAAAATGTTACAATAACTAAGATCCCTTAACAAATAAAGAGCCAAGACTAATAATAGTGATCCAATAAACAATAGTAAATAAAGTCATATTGATAATAAAGTGTAGAAAATGCTAATATATCAAGTTCATACCAAAACTTATTCATAAAATCAGCAAACAAATGCTTATCTATACCTTCCACTACAGACTGGAAGGCTGCTTGTCTATACCTTCCACTACAGACTGGAAGGCTGCTTATCTATACCTTCCACTACAGACTGGAAGGCAGCTTATCTATCCCTTCCACTATATTTATACTATTTCAGTACACATAAGGGGCATAACTGGCCAACCTCTCACAGTGTTCATGACAAAACACTCATGAACACTCGAGATACCTGGATGATCAGGTATCCAGAGGATACCTGATCAACGAGGCTGTGAGTCATATGTCAGGCTGCGAGCAGCGGCGTCCAGTAGCCTGGTTGACCAGTCCAGCAATGAAGAGGCCGGGCCGCGGGGACGCTAAGCCCCGAAACAACCTCAAGGAAGGTATCTCCAGCATACTAAAACTCATTCATACCTCCAGTATACTAAAACATATTCATGCCATCAGCATACCATATCTGTTCATATATCCAGTATAAACAAATTATAGATATCATTAATATAACAAAACCCATCCATACCACTTGCGTACCAAAGTTCATTAATACTACAGCATAAAAACTCATTCTTACAATGGACACAAGAAATTTGTAGACCAGACCACACAATAGAAGGTGAAGGGACGACGACGTTTCGGTCCGTCCTGGACCATTCTCAAGTCGATTGTGACAATCGACTTGGGAATGGTCTGGTCAACATACTTTAGCCCCGTTATTGTGACCCATCGTCGACACAAGAGATCCTTTAACTCACCATCATACACATTCATACCACCCACTTGTAGTCTACCAGTTGGTAGTTCTGGGGACCATGACCCCTGGTCTCCGACCGTGTCTCCTGGCTGCTGGTCTGGTCACCGACCATGTCTCCTGGCTGCTGGTCTGGTCACAGACCATGTCTCCTGGCTGCTGGTCTGGTCACCGACCATGTCTCCTGGCTGCTGGTCTGGTCACAGACCATGTCTCCTGGCTGCTGGTCTGGTCACCGACCATGTCTCCTGGTCTGGTCACCGACCATGTCTCCTGGCTGCTGGTCTGGTCACCGACCATGTCTCCTGGTCTGGTCACCGACCATGTCTCCTGGCTGCTGGTCTGATCATCCAGGCTGTTAGACACGTCTGCTCACAGCCTAAAGTCACAGCCCGGTTGATCAAGTAACCTTTGGATATATTTATCATACAACCAACACACAAAAACTTATACAAACCACAAACATACACATGGTCTTGTTGTATGTCTTACTAAACCCAACTTGTGATAAAACTTTGATAAACCCGTCAGTGGTAAGAGTTCCAGCGAGGTCCTCGTATGTAGGAGGACATTGGTCTCAATGTTATGTACATCTGTAGATTACTGTACATCTACACATGTACATCTGTAGATTACTGTACATCTACACATGTACATCTGTAGATTACTGTACATCTACACATGTACATCTGTAGATTATTGTACATCTACACATGTACATCTGTAGATTACTGTACATCTACACATGTACATCTGTAGATTATTGTACATCTACACATGTACATCTGTAGATTATTGTACATCTACACATGTACATCTGTAGATTACTGTACATCTACACATGCACATCTGTAGATTACTGTACATCTACACATGTACATCTGTAGATTATTGTACATCTACACATGTACATCTGTAGATTACTGTACATCTACGCATGTACATCTGTAGATTATTGTACATCTACACATGTACATCTGTAGATTACTGTACATCTACACATGTACATCTGTAGATTATTGTACATCTACACATGTACATCTGTGGATTACTGTACATCTACACATGTACATCTGTAGATTATTGTACATCTACACATGTACATCTGTAGATTATTGTACATCTACACATGTACATCTGTAGATTACTGTACATCTACACATGCACATCTGTAGATTACTGTACATCTACACATGTACATCTGTAGATTATTGTACATCTACACATGTACATCTGTAGATTACTGCACATCTACACATGTACATCTGTAGATTACTGTACATCTACACATGTACATCTGTAGATTATTGTACATCTAAACGTGTACATCTGTAGATTACTCTACATCTACACAGTACATCTGTAGATTACTGTACATCTACACAGTACATCTGTAGATTACTGGACATCTACACATGTACATTTAGTACTTGATGAGATGTACTCATCTCATTGAGAGATGTACATCATAATCATTTAGATGTAATGTATATCTACATTGGTCTCGTGAGGCTGGTCTCAACAACCAGCTCCTCGTAGATGTGTCCTTGTACTTTATTGGTCTCGTGAGGCTGGTCTCAACAACCAGCTCCTCGTAGATGTGTCCTTGTACTTTATTGGTCTCGTGAGGCTGGTCTCAACAATCTACGATATCAAAACAAATCTAAAACATAGAAACATAATTAAAATTGTTAAGCGACGCACCGAGCTCTTCGAGGTACTTCTTGTTCTCCACACTGTCCTGGATAATAATCCAAAGGCTACGGCCAGTGACGCCCCTCCGGTGAAGTCCTCGCAGGAGTCTCTCCCCACCCACACCTGTAGATGAGAGGGAACATTGAAGCCCACACCTGGCAACTCTCCCCACCTACACCTGTAGATAAGAGGGAACATTGAAGCCCATACCTGGCTACCCTCACCACACACACCTGTAGATAAAAGTAAAAACTGAAGCCCACACCTGGCTACACCTCACACCCATCTCTTAACGAGGAGAATTGTAGACTTGCAGAGGAGGAGGGTAGTGGTGCAGAGGAGGAGGAGGGTAGTGGTGCAGAGGAGGAGAGTAGTGGTGCAGAGGAGGAGAAAGAGGGTAGTGGTGCAGAAGAGAGTAGTGGTGCAGAGGAGGAGGAGGGTAGTGGTGCAGAGGAGGAGGAGGGTAGTGGTGCAGAGGAGGAGGAGGGTAGTGGTGCAGAGGAGGAGGAAGGTAGTGGTGCAGAGGAGCAGGAGGGTAGTGGTGCAGAGGAGAAGGGTAGTGGTGCAGAGGAGGAGGAGGGTAGTGGTGCAGAGGAGGAGGAAGGTTGTGGTGCAGAGGAGGAGGAGGGTAGTGGTACAGAAGAGGAGGGTAGTGGTGCAGAGGAGGAGGGTAGTGGTGCAGAGGAGGAGGGTAGTGGTGCAGAGGAGGAGGAGGGTAGTGGTGCAGAGGAGGAGGGTAGTGGTGCAGAGGAGGAGGAGGGTAGTGGTGCAGAGGAGGAGGAGGGTAGTGGTGCAGAGGAGGAGGAGGGTAGTGGTGCAGAGGAGGAGGGTAGTGATGCAGAGGAGGAGGGTACTGGTGCAGGGGAGAAGGAGGGTAGTGGTGCAGAGGAGGAGGGTAGTGGTGCAGAGGAGGAGGAGGGTAGTGGTGCAGAGGAGGAAGAAGGTAGTGGTGCAGAGGAGGAGAGTAGTAGTGCACAGGAGGAGGAGGGTAGTGATGCAGAGGAGGAGGGTACTGGGGCAGAGGAGGAGGGTAGTGGTGCAGAGGAGAAAGAGGGTAGTGATGCCGAGTAGGAGGAGGGTAGTAGTTCAGAGGTGGAGAAGGGTAGTGGTGCAGAGGAGGAGGGTAGTGGTGCAGAGGAGGAGGGTATTGGTGCAGAGGAGGAGGAGGGTAGTGGTGCAGAGGAGCAGGAGGGTAGTGGTGCAGAGGAGAAGGGTAGTGGTGCAGAGGAGGAGGAGGGTAGTGGTGCAGAGGAGAAGGAGGGTTGTGGTGCAGAGGAGGAGGAGGGTAGTGGTGCAGAAGAGGAGGGTAGTGGTGCAGAGTAGGAGGGTAGTGGTGCAGAGGAGGAGAAGGAGGGTAGTGGTGCAGAAGAGAGTAGTGGTGCAGAAGAGAGTAGTGGTGCAGAGGAGGAGGAGGGTAGTGGTGCAGAGGAGGAGGAGGGTAGTGGTGCAGAGGAGGAGGAGGGTAGTGGTGCAGAGGAGGAGGGTAGTGGTGCAGAGGAGGAGGGTAGTGGTGCAGAGGAAGAGGGTAGTGGTGCAGAGGAGGAGGGTAGTGGTGCAGAGGAAGAGGAGGGTAGTGGTGCAGAGGAGGAGGAGAGTAGTGATGCAGAAAAGGAGGGTAGTGGTGCAGAGGAGGAGGAGGGTAGTGGTGCAGAGGTGGAGGGTAGTGGTGAAGAGGAAGAGGAGGGTAGTGGTGCAGAGGAGGAGGAGGGTAGTGGTGCAGAGGAGGAGGAGGGTAGTGGTGAAGAGGAGGAGGAGGGTAGTGGTGCAGAGGAGGAGGGTAGTGGTGCAGAGTAGGAGGAGGGTAATAGTGCAGAGGAGGAGGGTAGTGGTGCAGAGGAGGAGGAGGGTTGTTGTGCAGAGGTAGAGGAAGGTAGTGGCGCAGAGGAGGAGGAGGGTAGTGGTGCAGAGGAAGAGGGTAGTGGTGCGGAGGAGGAGGAGGGTAGGGGTGCAGAGGAAGAGGAGGGTAGTGGTGCAGAGGAGGAGGAGGGTAGTAGTGCAGAGGAGGAGGAGGGTAGTGGTGCAGAGGAGGAGCAGGAGGAGAAGGGTAGTATCACTACTACTCTCCACCACTGCCACACACCACTCTCCACCACTGTCACACACCACTCTCCACCACTGTCACACACCACTCTCCACCACTGCCACACACCACTCTCCACCACTGTCACACACCACTCTCCACCACTGCCACACACCACTCCCCACCACTGTCACACACCACTCTCCACCACTGTCACACACCACTCTCCACCACTGACACACACCACTCTCCACCACTGTCACACACCACTCTCCACCACTGACACACACCACTCTCCACCACTGACACACACCACTCTCCACCACTGTCACACACCACTCTCCACCACTGTCACACACCACTCTCCACCACTGTCACACACCACTCTCCACCACTGACACACACCACTCTCCACCACTGTCACACACCACTCTACACAACTGCCACACACCACTCTACACAACTGCCACTCACCACTCTCCACCACTGTCACACACCACTCTCCACCACTGTCATACACCACTCTCCACCACTGCCACACACCACTCTCCACCACTGTCACACACCACTCTCCACCACTGTCAAACACCACTCTCCACCACTGCCACTCACCACTCTCCACCACTGTCACACACCACTCTCCACCACTGTCACTCACCACTCTCCACCACTGCCATACACCACTCTCCACCACTGTTACACACCACTCTACACAACTGCCACTCACCACTCTCCACCACTGTCACACACCACTCTCCACCACTGTCACACACCACTCTCCACCACTGTCACACACCACTCTCCACCACTGCCACACACCACTCTCCACCACTGCCACACACCACTCTCCACCACTGCCACACACCACTCTCCACCACTGTCACACACCACTCTCCACCACTGTCACACACCACTCTACACAACTGCCACTCACCACTCTCCACCACTGTCACACACCACTCTCCACCACTGCCACACACCACTCTACACAACTGCCACTCACCACTCTCCACCACTGCCACACACCACTCTCCACCACTGTCACACACCACTCTCCACCACTGCCACACACCACTCTACACAACTGCCACTCACCACTCTCCACCACTGCCACACACCACTCTCCACCACTGACACACACCACTCTCCACTACTGCCACACACCATTCTCCACCACTGCCCCACACCACTCTCCATCACTGTCACACACCACTCTCCACCACAGCCACACACCACTCTCCATCACTGTCACACACCACTCTCCACAACTGTCACACACCACTGTCCACCACTGTCACACACCACTCTCCTCCACTGCCACACAAACCACTCTCCACCTCTGCCACACACCACTCTCCACCACTGTTACACACCACTCTCCACCACTGCCACACACCACTCTCCATCACTGTCACACACCACTCTCCACAACTGTCACACACCACTCTCCACCACTGTCACACACCACTCTCCACCACTGCCACACACCACTCTCCACCACTGCCACTCACCACTCACACACCACTCTCCACCACTGCCACTCACCACTCTCCACAACTGTCACACACCACTCTCCACTACTGCCACTCGCCACTCTCCACCACTGCCAATCACAACTCTCCACCACTGCCACACACCACTCTCCACCACTGCCACTCACCACTCTCCACCACTCACACACCACTCTAATTCACTGCCACACACCACTCTCCATCACTGCCTCATACCACTCTCCACCACTGCCACTCATCATTCTCCACCACTCACACACCACTCTCCACCACTCACACACCACTCTAATTCACTGCCACTCACCACTCTCCACCACTGCCACTCACCACTTTCCACCACTGCCACACACCACTCTCCACCACTGCCACTCACCACTCTCCACCACTCACACACCACTCTCCACCACTGTCACTCACCACTCTCCACCACTCACACACCCCTCTCCACCACTGCCACACACCACTCTCCACCA